TAATTGTGCATGTATTATTTTAATTAATTTTATTTGTTGATTATGTTTAATTAAGCAATATTAGTTAATTAGAGTATTATATTTGTGTTATAAAGTATTATGATGATATAATATATTATTTTGTAATAACAATAATAATAATTATATTAGTTTAATAATAATAATAATAATAATATTATAATAATAATAATTATAAAAGTTTATTAATAATAATAATAGTTATAAATAATAATAATAGTATTAAACCAATGTCATGATGAAATTAGAGATTAGGATAGGATTGCATCAATGGTTATGGGTGGAATTGAAGCCTTATGGTTGGGAGGATGGTTAGTAGATTAAAAAATAAGATATTTGTAATATTTATATTATATATTTTGTATATAAATTAACTAGCTTACCTTAGAAGAAAATAAAGGGAGTTAGAAGCAAAGTATAATTTCTAGTGAGCTATTTTATAAGAGTGAAAGGAAAAGAGAAAGAGAAAGAAGCTTGGACCGGTGTAGGCGATTTTACCCGACTACGCGCAGACCGGCGGATTTATTTTAAATCCAAAAAGGCAAGTTATTATCTACTTTTCCCCTTTGAATTAATAAATTAATTGTTTAGCTTATTTTTATGCATAGAGCCAAGGTTTGGAGGTTAATAAATTATTAATTTTATTTTATTAAATTAATGGAATTTTAATTATATAGGATGGTATATATTTATTTAATGTCCTATGAAATTAATAATGGCTAAAAATAATTAAATAAGACTTTAGGGATTTTTCTAGAATTTTCTAGATTTTTCCGGGCATTTTCTGCAATTTCCGGCGACCTTCCGGCGAGTTTTCCGGTCGCCGGCGATGGGGGAGACGACCGGAGTGATCCGGTGTGATGCGGCGCACCACAGGAGGGTATGCGCGCGCATCTGGACCATTAAATAGCAGCGATTGATCCGGTGCATCGCGGTCCATGCTACCGCGGTACACCCGGATCCGTGAACGTTGGATGGAGGAGATGTAAATGGATTGATCCGGTGTGGCGCGCATGTAGGAAAGCTGATGCAGCCAACCAACCGGAGGACGCCACGTCAGCAGGAAGCCATCAACGCGCGCGTGGGAGCGCGTGCGCGCGCGTGGGACTCTCCAGACGCGCGTGGGAGCGCGTGCGGGCGCGTGGCTGATGCCAGACGCGCGTGGAGGCGCGTGGGAGAGTGGGGAGGCTCTGGGAGGCGCGTGAGGGCGCGTGTGGGGTCCCTACAGCTGCTGGAAATTACCAGAATACCCCTAGGGCCTGTTTTGTAAATTCCAGAACCTTAAACTTGGATTTTTAGGCACTGTGTTGGTATTTACGGGTTTAACGGGCCACGAAATTATTATTTTAACACCCGTTACTTATTCTTATGACCGATTAATCTTTTCTAAGCATTTATTGGCTCGTTCGCAGTACGGATACTAATGTGATTTATTTAACGACATTGTTAAATATGAATAGTGTTATTATCGTATTAAATGGTATCAAACATTACTGTTAAATTAAATAAGGCCATGGTTTTAGTCAGATAAATTATCCATGATATCTTATAGGATGTTTATACTGTTAATTGATATATAAACCATGATTATTATGCTGTGTGCATTTCAGGGAATAAATGGACTGTTTATTATGTCGCATTTATATTGTATGGATGTGTTGCCATATAGAACCATGTGAGCTGGCTAATAAGTTTAGACTCATTTATACCTTATGCATTCGTTGCGATAGACAGATGTGTGGCTGTCGGGGTATGTGGTTTAATATTATTGGCATGTGTTGCCTAATTGACATACTCGGTATATTTATTAATATTATTGGCATGTGTTGCCTAATTGACATACTCGGTATATTTATTAATATTATTGGCATGTGTTGCCTAATTGACATACTCGATATATTTCTTAATATTGTTGGCATGTGTTGCCTAATTTATATGCTCAGTATATTCATTAGTACTTTGCGAGGTGTTATCACTGTGTAGTTCGTTATAGTCTGTGTTGTCAGTACCGTGCACCATGTATAATAGCTGATTTCCCGGGTAGGGAAAGGCGACACTTAACCACCTAATGTGAGTCTAAGTGATCACCGTCTATTCTGGTTGAGGTCATGTTATACATCGGATAGTTCCCATAGGATGTATACAGATATAGTACTCATCCGATTCATAATGATTAATTTATTTGATTCTCTGATTTGGGTCATAGTAGAGAGGACTTGCTCGTGGGGTTGACCCACCATTGTTGTTATTTCAGGATACGGTCAGTATCCGTTTCAAGGCTGAGGTTAGCAGTGTGAGACCATCATCCGAACTCATCTACTCTTACGATCCAGTGCAGGGTAGAAGTTTTATGTAATACTTCAGTTTCAGTTTTTATTTACTTTTGACGTTGAACTCTCAGGGTTATATTTAGGGATCCCTGACGTAGGATTTCCAAGTTGTAATGAAGTACTGTATTAAATAAAGGATGGATGGATGTTGTATTATTTAATGTTTCTTTCCTGTCTAAATTCTTTTATTTCCATCATTTTGTATTCCATGCTTGTATATTGCCAATTGTTTTTGATATCCCTCGTTTTTCGTGTATAAGCCTGATCAACTTATGCGTGGAAAATGTGGGGGTGTTACATTAATGTAGCCTAGGGAGGACTAGGGAGAGTACTCTAGCGTGGTTGAGCTATTCGGGCCCCTCGACGGCACCACGGGGTCACCAAGGGCCTAGGGACGGTAGCCAATCCTCCTCTCGTCGCGGCGGGGTTACCAATGGGGGTTACATTAACTTTGAACGTGATGGTTTTGAGAATGAAAACGGGGAGTGACTTTAGCATGCATTGCATCTCACTCCATTTGCATTTGTGTGTGATTGAATTTGATTTGTACTTGTAATTATTTTTCTCCTTCAATGCATGTCCCCAATCTCCCATTGGCCTATGCTTTATTTGGATTCACTAGGACACAAGAATTGTGTCTTAAGTGTCACCTGCTGAGCTATATGCTCACCCTTATATCTATATATATTTTTTTCAGGTTTTGGAAAAGAACTGGTGGATGACAACCCACCTCAAGCTTGAACGGCGTTAGAAGTCCACTTTTGTATCTTTGTATATTCCCCATTATTTTGTAAAACACTAGAAGTGCAAAGATGTATAATTATTTTGTGGAACTTTGTCATGTAATATAACTAAAGTATTGATGATGTTTTGGATGGGGATTTGATAGTATGCAACTTGTAGATGAATGGATGGATAATCCTAGTTTGAAGCATTGTCTAGATTAGTTTGTTGTATTATTATCTTTTGTTGCCATGAATTCAGAATTTGAGCCATGACAAGTTAAAAATGCAATTAAACAGGTTGTGATAGGCCTATTTTTAGGGAAGGTCATGCCAAATTTTTTTTGTTTAAAAAGTATTAATTTTGAGTCATCACAATTTTATTTCCTACATTATTATTTGATGCATTCTTATGTGGCTATGTGGTTATTTTAGTGTTGTGGTGTGTTTGGTACACACACACACACACACACACATATATATATATAATGTTAAAGATATTATTTTGGCCGCGGGACCTACTATTAGTGTTAGTCATTACAAAATGACTACCTGGTCATTAACAGACCATTACTCTTCCTCTTCTGCTACGAAATTTCTCTCTCCACAGTTTTCTTTTTCTTTTTCTTTTACAATCTTCAAGGCTTAGATCCACACATTTCCACTTTGATTTCGACTTTGTCACGTAAGGCAAAGTCGACGAGCGCGTCGTGGCCTACGTTTTGATCGGAGCAAAGTTCAGTTTGGCCACCCTTTGGATTTCGAAATTTTGGGTTGTTTTGAGGGTTTTCTTCATTTCTTGAGGTAGGGTTGTTCTAATACCCATTTCTTTGAGCTTTGTGAGTTAATCTCCTTTAATTAATGTACAAGCATGTTTATATTGTGTTAAATTCTTGAGATGTGATCTATATATTGTATACATGATTTTTACATGGTGTAGAAAGTGTATGATTATGTATTAGCTGCCTTGTTGAGATGATACATGCTTAAATGATTTTATTTTATGCCTTATGTATTTAAGTTGTTGGATTTGCGAATTGAAAATATGTAAAATGCCATGGTTTAGAAATATGAGAATGTGATATTGTGTGGGAATTCATATTTTGAACATGCTCGAATAATATTAATGATATGTATGAAATTTCTATATTGTCATGGCATTGAAGGACTTGCATAATTTATGCATTACCATTGGGAAAGAAAAAGGAAAAATGTGTTTTGAAATGAAATAAAAATTATTTTGGGGAAATGTTTTGAAATGGTTTGAGAAAACCCGAACGCCTAGGAGGTGCCTAGTGGTCCGTGGCGTTAATGTGATCTAGAGGGAATTAGGGAGAGACCCTAGCGTGGTTAAGCTACCTAGGCCCAGAACGACGCCATGGAGGTGCCATGTGATCGGGGATAGCTAAGCAATCCTTCTCTCGTGGCGCCATAGAGGTGCTATGGGTCGGGTTGCATTAACGTTTGGAATAGTGAAACGGAAATGTTTCGGAAATAGGGAGTGACATTGGCATGTCATTGCATTACATTGGCATGCATTGTATACATATGGTTAGATATGGTTGTATTGTTGTTGTTGTTGCTATGTTTTCCCCAAGGGTATGATCCCGTTTACTTTTACTCTATGCTTTGTGTGGATTCATGGGGTCATTAAGAGATGAGTCTTAGACACCTACTACTGAGCGGCTGGCTCACCCCATCATATTATTACATTTTCCAGGTCACGGGAAAGAAGTGGTGGACGATGCACTTCCACAAGTTTGAATGGGTTAGTGGACTATTTTGACATCTTTTGTATTTGTGATCTCATTTTTCTTGTATAAACTTTGGGATGGCACTTATATTATGTATCAACCTTGGAATTGACCATAGTGCCCTTAGACGACCTTGGGTTCGGGTCGTTACAGTTAATTTGCAAAAAAAGCTTACTTTAAACTTGCAAATAGTAATCACTAAAAATGGAATTAACCAATCTGGATGGAAGGCATACGTAGAGGAATATAACCGATAGAACCCTTTAGCCCAGCTGATATGGTTTGATTTTTGTTGGGATTTTTTGATGAGTGAAAAAGGAACTTTGCTAATCCGAAGTCAGCAACATGGGCTGTCATGTCATCATTGAGGAGAACATTGCTTGGTTTTAGATCACAGTGAACAATTGGTGTTTCACAATAGTGATGGAGATGATCTAATGCAGAAGCAACATCAATGGCTATGTTCAGTCTCAGGATAATGTTCGTACTCTTAATTTTAAATTGCCCATCAGTTGGATGCAGCCACTGGTCAAGGCTTCCATTAGACATGAACTCAAATACAAGACCTTTGAAGTCATTACCTTGATGATCAACACTAGAACATGCAGTTATGATCTTGAGGAGATTTCTGTGCCGAATGCTTCTCAAGGCCTTGAATTCATCCATGAAGCTCCGGGACGCTCCTTCTTGTTGAAGGTTTAACACTTTCACTGCTACAATTGCACCATTATCATTGATAACTCCTTTATAAACAACCCATTAGTTGAGTTAAAATGTTCCTGGTAAGAAGCCCCCATTTGCCAATCCTCAGTGGAGGATTCAGTTGAAGGTCGCTTTCTTGAGTTTTTCATCACACAACAAGCAGCAAACGAACAAAATAGTATTATTACGAATATTGTTGCAATAATTATCACGGGGATGAATACTTTTGGAGCTAGAAATTTTCTTGAATGAGATTTGTCTTGAGAGCAAGCAGGTAAATGCAAGTCTGGGACACCACCACATAGCTTGTCATTTCCAAGGATAGAAATTGCAGTAGCATTTGCAAAAATTCCATCCATTGACACTGCCCTCTCGAAATTATTGAAGGAAAGATTGAGTTTCTTTAGAGATGAAAACTTTCCAAGGAATTCTGGGATCTGACCAGACAAGTTATTACGTGAAAAATCAATCTCTTCTAAGCCTCTTAATGCTTTCAAAGATTCAGGAAGTGTTCCTTGAAATGAATTCCCCTCAATAAGCAGGTGCTCCAAACTAAGGCAACTGCTGAGGGTGCTTGGAATTTCACCAGACAATCTGTTATCTGACACATCAAGCTCCATGAGATTTATCAAGTTACCCACTTCAAATGGTAATGAACCAGTCAAAGAATTATAACCCATTGACAAAGAAATAGAAAGAGAAGAGAGACCAATGACCTCTTTGGGTATGGTGCCACTAAGATTATTACTAGTAAGGTTCAGTACCAGCAAATTCTTGCAATTTCCGAGGCTTGGGGGTATACTGCCTTCTAGTCTATGCTCCTCCATAAAGAGCCTGGTTAATGATGTCAAATTGCCAAGGGAAGATGGAATAGGCCCCGAAAATTTGTTAACATTCAAATACAGTCCCTCTAATTTTTGAAGCTTCCCCATAGCACTAGGGATTCGACCAGTGAAGTGGTTCCCTTCTAGCCCAAGAAGGGTCAAATTGATGAGGTTTCCAATTCCCAAAGGAACAGTTCCATAAATCAAGTTTTCACCCAGAGTAAGTATTTTGAGGCTGGTTGAAAGGTTGGCTATGGAGTTGGGCAGTTCTCCTCCAAAAAGATTTCTAGCCAAACCGAGTACTTCCAGACTAGTGCAGTTAGCCAAGAAAGTAAAAAAAATCAAGTCACCAACTTCTCTATTTCCAAGTTTATTATCATCAAAATTAATTCTATATAAATTTTGCAAGCTTTCCAAATTTGTTGGCACAGTCCCAGTGAGACTATTTTGAGCAAAGTCAATCACTTGAAGCCTAGAAGCATTTGGCAATGAAACAGGAATAACTCCTGTGAAATTGTTAACACTTAGGAAGGGTAATACCAACATCTGGTGGGAGTTGCCCATTTAACTGGTTCAGAGTAACAGAGAAGTAGAAAATGGAGGAAATATTGTAAATTGACAAAGGAATATTACCAGACAGTTGATTTCCATAAAGTTGAAAAAATCCAAAGCGCAACAGGCGGCCAAGCTCAGGGGGTATGCGACCATACAGATTGTTCCTGGCGAGTGAGAGAGCCAATAGTGATGAAAAGTTTCCTATCCAAGCTGGGATAGTTCCTGTCAGGTTATTTACAGCCAGATGTACAATTAACAATTTTGACAGTGAACTAAGCTGATCGGGGATTGACCCAACAAGCTCATTGAAATTCACATCGAGGACTCTTAAGTCAGTACAATGAGTAAGATTTGTTGGGATCTTTCCGCTGAAGGAATTTGAGCTCAAATTGAGATGCTGCAGGAGTAGTAAACGGCCTAAATCTTGAGGAAGTTCGCCATGGAAGCTGTTGTTTTGTAGGTTGATCCCAGTAAGGAATGTGAGGTTGCCGATAGAAGGTGGTATTGAGCCAATTAAACTTAGTGATTCTAAGTTCAGAATCATGACCCTGCTACTGGTGGAGCTGCAAGTAACACCAACCCAATTGCAGAAATGGAGAGAATCATTCCATGAGCTCATTATTTGAAGTGGGTCATGACTTATCTGATTCTTGAAATCAAGTAAAGCAAATTGATCCGTCTGATTTCCAGAAGTGGATGCTACTGCAGATTCCAGACCTGAGATCATGCACAAAAGAAGAATCCCAAAACACAGAAAAGAATGCTCCATCCCTTTTGCGATATGGTGCTGATGGGAGGACTATATGCAATATGAAAATTAATATAATTTTGCTGTGAGAAGAAAATATTTATAATGTTGATTAAGATGACAAATTGACAATATAGTTCTTTAGAAACAATAAAAGAGATTGGCCCACCAACTTTGAAATTGTATGGCACGTTAGTTGGAGAGGTTGTCAACTACTATAATCTATTGAAGCATATCAAAATATGGGGGAAAGGATCAAGTTGACTTTGTTACCCTGGGATCCACCACAGGTTGCAATCACGTAATCTTGCATTTGTCCAAGTTATCAGACTATCCATTTCAACAGCTTTTATTAGGTTTGGTAGGCTTGTGGATAAGCCAACTTCAACCTGGTTTGATTGTGATTCAACCCTATGGAACTCATCTCTCTACTAAAGCATCTGAGATGAAGTTTAAGTTTTAGATATAGTTGTGCTCAGACGAGTTCTCAGTGTGGTCATTTACCGAGAAGAAGTCCTTCATATGTTCAATTCAAGTTTTTTCTTTTACACTAGGCTACAATACAAATCCCCTACTATTCAACTAGTAAAAGTTGAAATGGTGAATACCAGAAAGAAATAACAAGTTAACACAAATCCTGAAACAAAACGAATCAATTATGTTTTTACAGAAGAATAACATAAAAATAAATAAATAAATAAAAAATTAAAATTATGGATCAAAGAGCTTCCTGTTTATTTTACTTTCGGTTCACATAATTTTCCCACATAAAAATATAAAATGCAGTACTAACCTCTGATTTCAATGTTGATGATGGTTGCAGGAAAACAATAGACGATGACATAAATAATTTTTTAAGAGGACCAAAGCCAAATCTGGAACAAAGTCATTGAAAAATGATTAGCTGGCAATGAGAACATATTTCATTGAGGAACAAACTTACCATTAAACCCCAAGTGTTGATCTTCTATATCTAAGTTCATTTTATTTGAGCTTGGTGCTCCACTCCAACAACTCGACAGAGCTCGCCCCGAGATCCCTCGAACTGATTCCTACTTGATTCTTCGACGGCCATGGCTTATGCCGTGCTTGGTCTTCTTCTCTACGCTGGTTTGGATTTATTCGATGGTTAAGAATTAGGTTTTTATTGGGATGGAAACAGAAAATGAAGAAGAAGATTAGGAAGATCTGGTAAAGGAGGCTACTTGTCGGACATTGTGGCAGTGATGGGTTTGGAAACTTTGGATAGAACGGGGGTTCCATTTACTGAAATTTTCAAGCAAACACAAATCAAATGTGTTGTTACGGAAGCGCAGGCGACGAAAGAGACAGATTTTATGAAAATAATACTCTATTTAATACGGAGTATACAAAAATTAAAAATTCTATTAAAAAAAGTTAATAAAATATTATAATTTCTAATTATTGAATAAAATTTAATCCTTTTAAAATGTAGACTAATTATTTTGAAAAATAAAAATATAATAATGAAAAAATAATTTACTAATAGAAAATAATTTAATCCTGATGTTTTGGTGAACGCAATTTTGCACAATCAAATGACATAAACAACCTTGAATTATTAATTGAATTTTATTAACAAAATATCAGCAAAGTGAATTGACAAAAATAATCCAAGGGGTGTCATTGTTAAAATAACTTTGAATTGCATCGGAGTAGAATTAACCAAAACCTTAGTAAGTGTAAGTGCAATTAACCCTAAAAAAAAAAAAATTATAGACAAATTTAAATGGTCAAATATTAAATAGTAATTTTAGGAAATTATTTTTTTTTTCTTGGTAAAATATATATATATATTTTTTTCTTGAAAATTATTTCTAAATATGTACTTATTTGATAAATAATGAACATTTTTCAAGTATTAACCTTGTCATTCTTCGTAAAATTCAAATTTCATTCTCTGCTTTCTATGTATTGTAACTGGTACTTATTTAAAAAAATACTAATTGTTACTAAAATTATCACTCTTAAAACATTTAACAAATTATTTCAAATTGCTTTTAGTAACAAAGTACATACAACATGATAAAATACATTAAGTACTTTTCATGAATTGTGAATAACAAAATGATTTATTTTCATTATATTTAAATTTTCCGCTTCACATATCTTTAAAAAAGTCTCAAAAAAAAAAAAAAAAAAAAAACTCTATAAAATTGAAATGATTCTATCAAAAACAAGTGCATTAAATTATTTTAATGTATAATTTTTTTTTCACCAAGAACGTTTAATAAAATTCTTTGACTATTTAATCCTGAATTTAGAGTATCTTACTTTCACATAATTTACAGAGTTCAACAAATAATTAATATTTCACGATTAAGAGTATTATGTTAAATTGAAATAAAACTTTTTTTTCTTAAATTCTTTCTGTTCAAATTTAATTTTTAGCATAATTGTTTAGAAAAAATTAATTAAACAACATGATATATGAAAAAGGTAAAATTGTGATAGATAATTTTATTGAAAATATTTATAATAGTGTGTGTATTGTGGAGGCGATACATGTGTTCGAAAAAAGAAAAAGAAAAAATTCTTTCAATTATATAATAAAATATTTATCTAATTAATTTTAAAATGTTTATTAGAATTTTAAAAAATTCAAAATTCTTTGACGGATTATTTCTTTTTAGGGTATAAGTTGATTGGAAGGGGGAAGTGTTGAAGGATCACCATCACGTGGCTCATCACGTGGACGTATCTCAAGGAAATGTGAAGTTTGAGCTTTTCAATGTGAAAAATTTACTATAAAAGAGATTAAAATTAATGTCATATGTCGGCTGTCACGTGTCACATTCCCCACCGTGCATTTATTTGAGTGGGATGGACCCGGATAATGTGGGGTCTCTTTTGCATCTAGTGTGAGAATAGCACGTGTCTTCAATTATATTCACAACTCATTCGCTCAAATACCAAACAAACAAATTTGATATTATTCAAAGTTCACTTTCGTCCACATGCACATCTCACTAATTTTATACCATATAAAATGACAAAATTGTTTTTTAAAAAGGGTGGACTATCACTTTTTGAAATAAATATAGAATAATAGTGTTTTTAAAATAATAATGTCTTTATTTATTTATTTTTACAAAGCAAATAGAGTGGAAGGAAAGAAAAATGGACTCTTAATGTCATGTCAAAAATACAGTTTTTTATTTTTTGTTAGTACAAAATAAATAAATAAATAAATCATGTCCAAAAATCAATAATTATCATATCAAGTTTTCTCATAATTATAAGAATTTCTCTTATTTCTTAAAAAAATAACACTAACCTCTCTTTATGTTCATGGATTCTCTGTGAGAGTCATTACAAAAATATGCATACATCATTAAAATTTATTTTTATCAAAGTACTGGTTTGGCCTGAAGAAGCATCTTGTCAATTTTTAAAAATAAAATCAAAACTGAGGGTAAAATAGTAAAATAATATGCCCACTAATTTTTTCCTTAATAATAATTAAAAAAAGAAAAAAATGAAGCGATGGGCCTGGATTGGTTATTGCGCAGATTAGGGGTCAGCTAAACCCTGGTCAGGGTTGGATGGGCCTAAAGTGGAAGATGGACCAATGGCTCAATGACAAAAAGCTCTCTAGAGGTATTTTAGTTTAGTGGGACTAATGGGCGTATTTTTCCAACTCATAATGTGATGATCATGGACCGTGAAATCATTTCAACCAATGAACCCTATGGTTACTTTAAAAGAATGAAATTAATGCCCAATTATGTCATCCATTTATGAGTAAAGGACATTATATATATATATTAGGGTTAAATGCAAAAAACCCCCCCTGAACTATTAAGGAATTAGCAACTAACCCCCCTAAACTACTAAAGTTGCCACTAACCCCCTAAACTATGATTTTTGTTGCAGTTTGCCCCATCCGGCGAGGCTCCGGTCAGACCTCACCGTTAAAGTGCCACACTATAATTTTAATGACCATGATGCCCTTATGAGCATGAAAAGACGCTAATGCCCCTTATATGACCTTTGCACCCAAAACCACTTAAAACACCCAAACATGCCCTTATGCTAAAATACACACTGTTCATCGTCAATACAAACAGATGTGTGGTTATAAACACTGTTCATCTTTTCACAGTGTGCTTATGCTTTCTGATTTAAAAAATAAAAAAATAAAAAATTGTGTTCAGCACAGAAGAAAAATTACACAATCGTGAAAGCGAAAAAAAGGAAATATGGGCCTCAAATCCCCAAACCTTCAGTTCGAATCTCTCAGGAAATGCATCAACGATGAGTCAGCTGTTCATCGGCAGTGTCGGCGCAGAGTGTCCTGTAGTAGAACACTCTATATATAGCCAACCTCATACCTCTCAATCGTCAATGCACAACCAAAATACTTAGAACCCTAACCCAATTTCAGAAAAAATTTAAATAATTTCCCAAATCATCCTCATACATATCAATCGCTCTCAATGTGTGAACTGATTCCTGCAATGCTTGCATCAATGATACCTAATTTACACCTCAATCACAAAACAAATTTTAATTATTCATGCAAGAAAATATACAAAAGACATATGCCTATATATATATATATATATATATATATATATATATATATATATATATATATATATATCCACTGACAGAGCCAAGACCAGAGAGCCGCGAGTACCACGTCCGATGGCGATAGATCAGGCGAGTACACATCGACGTTGGTAAGATTCTATCCATATCCATATCCATATCCATCATAATCACCATGGCCATTGTGAACCCATTCGCGTCACAATCCAAACCAACTCCTCCACCATTCTTGCCATCCCCGCCGATGATACCGTCACCACCGTCCCCACAACTACACCTTCTCACATGGAAAACACTATCGCCTCGGCCGGATCATTCAAGAACAGCTCATTGGCTGAGTAGGAGGTCATCGATCCGGCTCACTAGAGTAAAACCAGTCGAGAGAGGAGACCGAAGGTCGTCGGCGGGGGTAGCGAAGCACTACGACGGCTTCCCCCTCCAGAAAC